TGGAAATCTATTATATATTTTAATATATAAACATTTAATAAGATAATTTTTAAAATTTTGAATTGAGTTTTAGTTAAATAAAACATCGTAATTTAAAATTAAAACTTTAATTATTTTTTAGAGTTGAGATTAATATGCACTTTTCTCTTTAATTTATTAAAAAACAAAAAAACCAACGAGGGGTTGGATCAAGTGATAAGCGGCTTGTTCCAGTTTAAGCAAAATTTCGAGTTCGAGACCTTGTGAATGCAGCAGCCTCCGTTGGGAGACTCATCCACCATTTCAAGGTGCGCGACGCGGATCGATCCGGATTAGTCGGGCGAAGCCCCGGATACTGGACGTAAAAAACAAAAAAATATATATATATATATATAAACTTTCATAAAAAAAAGAGCAATATAAAGATATAATAAATAAAAAAAAATACATATTAGTCTTGACTCCCAATATAAATTAGAGTTCTAATATTAAATGACATTATTTTATTTAATTAAAACTCAATTTAAATTTTAAAAATCTATCTTATTAAGTCTAAAATTCCAAAAAAATTCAACTCATAATCTTAAATAATGTTATTTCTTTTAATTAAAATTCAATTTAAATTTTAAAAATCTATCTTATTAAATATTAATATTATAGATTGAGAAACTGATTATATTAAAATATATAATTGATTTCTAAATTTATATATAAACATTAAATAAAGTAAAATTTTAAATTTCGAATTAATATTTTAAATTCCAAATATAAGTTATGATTCTATTTTTTTTAAAATCAACATTAATACGTACTAACCTCTAAAAAAATAATTACATTAAAAAAATATATTATTAATAATATAGGACATAACAATAATCCCATCTGTAATTAGTACGAATTGGCCTTTTGCAGTCACAACGACAAGGGTCAGGGGATGGCATTTTCTACGAGGACAAGATTTAATGATTTATGCCTCGGGGGCTAATGATGACAAGCTTCTAGTTTCTGACACGAATTCCTTGCCAAATTTTACATTAATCCCAATAGAATCATCGTCAGATTTTGGGTTTCGGTCTAAGGTGTACTTGGTTGGCTCTAATAATGGACCGATAATGGTAGAAAGGTGTTGCAATGTTGATGACGTTCAACTTAATTAAGAAACCTCGCCATTCCTAGAAAAGCAGTTGGATTTAAGATTTGTTTGTTAGAATCCAATGCAAAAAGGCTTAAAGTGGTCTGATGAGATTACATATTTGGGCCATAACGCGATGTTTTTTAATTTATAAGGTGTAATGCCTTAGCTAGCTTTGATATCATCTAAAGATTTCCCGAATCTTTAAAGAAAATTGAATCTATTACACTCGTGATTAGAGGCAAGATTTGAAGGAATAATGATTATTATTAGATGGAAGAATCAAAGTTCGTGGAGAACTCAACCTAGACATCCAATCTCCATATTCATATTTTATAATTAGAAATATAAAATATGAACCTTTTTTATTTAAATTTTTTTAATAAAAATAATTATTCATTATAACTATTACATATTTTTAATAAAAAGATAAGAAAAAAAATTAAGAGTTAAACACATTATACCTCAATAATATTTTCACTTATGGAATAAAGTATTATCATTTCACTTATTACGAAAGAACCATCTATTTAAAAGTTTTTATTTTATAGTTGAAAATAATTTAAAGTGTATATTTTTTAAATAAAAATATTTTTTAAAGTAACCATGACATCATTAAAAGAAAAAAAAAGAAAGTGAAAATGAAGATGCTTTTACTATCATTGTGTATTTCCCGAATGTCAACGCCCCTCTTCGCGCACTAGTTTTTGTTCGGTTTGGTGTCTCTATTGCCGTATTATTCCTAACATCGGTGATGTTTGATGGATAAATTTTTTATATTATTTTTTAATATACTTTTTATATATTATTAAATAAATTAATATATTTAATATAATAAATTTTACATAAATTAAAAAAATTAATTATTTAAATAAAACATTAAATCATATAAAAAAATAATACAAAAAAATTATTCCCGAATCATTTTCATCCCTCGCATCATTTCTTGATTCTTCCGGTTTCCTCGTGTATATTGCTGCT